TATTTTTTGTAACAAGAATAATTAAATAGTTTTATATTTTTATAAAATATGAAAGATTTATTTGTTTTAATTTGATTTGTAAATTATAATAAAGATATTGATTTATATCTGAAACAAGTTTGATTTTTTTTTATATATTTAGTTAATTTTTCAAATAATGTTATATATTACAAATTGATTTTTATTTAATAGTTTAAATTAATTAATTTAATAGATTTGAGATTTTATTTTGATTTAGAAAATAAAATAAATATTAAATTATGGAATATTGAATATTTATTTAATTAAATATAAATATATAATTCCTATTTACAATATTTTTGAGAATTTATTTCATTTAGATATAGAATTTCAAATTAGTATAATTCTTGTAAATATTTAATTATAATTTATTAAATTATAAATATAATATTTAAAAATATTAAAAATTCAACTAAAATTAGATATAATATAATTTGTATCTAATTTGATTTTTAAAAAATATTTTAAATTTTTTTAATTATTATAATTAATTAACAAATATTAATATATTAAATAATTGACAAGTATTAGCAAATTAAATAAAAATAAAATAATAATTTATTATTTGGCATATATTAAATTGTTGCCAAGTAATATTATACAAAATGGTTTTTTATATTCAAATGTTTAATAAGTGACAACATGCCAAATGGTACTATTTTGACTAGTGTTAAGAAACCAGTATTGTTAAAAAAAATGTATAAACTTTATTATTATAAAGATATAAAATCTTTTAAAAATATCTGTTTTTTGAATTGACAAAAAAATCAGCAAAAATTTTTTTTTTAAAAAAAAAAATAATAATAATTTAAAAATGATATTGTTTTTAAAAAAACTTAGTAAAAATATTCTTAACAATATTAATTACATAATGATTATATTAATTATATTCTCTGTTTTGGAAACTCAATAATTTAATAAAAGTAAAAGCCAACTTTAACTAATTTATTTAATAAAAATCAACCCATTGATCTTTATAAAACATATACAGTATATATATATAAATTCAAATAAATATTTTATTAATAAACGTTTAACACAAAATGTTTTTACATGTCAAAGTGAATTTAACAAAGAATCTTTTCAACAATTATTAAAAATCAGTTACTCTGGATCCATAACTCCAATCTCCATGCCTTAAGGGATCCTGCTTAGGGCCACCAATTTCTCCTGTTAAAGGATTTTTATCCCCTTCAAACTGAGAAGGAGGTTTGTCTCTTAAGTCGGGGTGAACTTGCAATTCTTCATTGGTAGAAAGAGAGCCTTGATTTTTTTTGCGTACAAGCTCTTCGAATTCCTTTTGTTCTTCAGGATTGCCTAGCGGTACTGGACCTGGCCTACTAAAGGTCGTGTATAAACAGACATTTTTCGGTCGTAGAAAAGATGTTAGACGGAAGAGATAATATTTTGTATTAATACGTGCTAGTGCCATTATTTGATAGATGTCGATTGCAAAAAAAATTTATTTGATTTGAACCCCTGAAATTTTAACAAATTCGTCACGTCTTGAGCATGGGGTATTCATCTTTCATGAAAAACAGATACTTTACTTAGTACTTGATTGAAGAATAACCAATAGAATAATATGAATAAATAAATAAGTAGATATATTTGACGCGTCAACAACTAAGCACTTTGTTACTCGCTCGCACTATACAAAATCGTAGCTTCATTTAATACGTGTCTAACGCGGTTATTTAAGAATAGTCTCACAAAGGTTATAACTTTAAAAAAGAATTTCTTCATAAAATTATTTTAGTAACAAGTTTGTAGGCACAGTGCGTAGTGCTCAACTCATTTGCAAATTTAAGTCCAATGGCGCGTGGGCACATGTCTACAGGAAGTTCTTCAGTAGCTTGTAAGGAAGAAAAGCAACGTACGGAATTCTTTCCGGAAGGTTAGAATTAAAGTAATAAAAGTCGTCAAATAAAGTTTTTACAAATACATTCATATAACAATCTTTACTACTTTTTGATGTTTTAAACTTTCGCGGTTTTTAAAGAATGTACAAATTCCATGAAAGAAACGACTTTTGTCAACTGGATGCTAGCGACTCCTCCAGCTTCTATTGTTGTATCCGACATTTCGGTGACTGTTACGTTATATACGCTTCTCAGAGTCTACATTTCGTTATTTTACTAAAGTAAGGAATTTTTAAAATAGCAAATACTTAGGGTAAACTTAAAGAGTAAAGAGAATAAAGAACAAATTGAAGAAAGTGAATACATCAATCCTTTATTACTACAACAGAGGTAACATAAGAATGATCTTAATGTCAAGTTATTTCAATCAAATTAAGTTTTTCATATTTTAAGCGAGGAGATCGAAACCATAAGAAAGACAAGCTTGTTTGCTCAAGATGTTACCGAGACAGAGCAAGATATAATTGACAAGAGAGTTGCATTACAACAACGACAGGTATTATTCATAAGTGTTGCATACGATTATTACGCTTTAATGTAATATTTATTGTTTATGTGCAGTATGCCGAATTCGAACGGCGTGAATGTGAACGTAAATCGCGCAAGATTCGTGGTGTATTTGAATTTGTTTCTGATGAAGAAATTTCGGAGGCATTGCGAGATTGTGAGAATGATGAGGTTGTCTTATTTATCAATGAAGTTTCAGTAGAATTATATTTGAAAAAAATTTCATACTTTATGTTCAAATTCAGGAAGAAGTCATTGTGAGAATGACTCAGCCTCGATATCTTATTGAAATTCGTAAGACAATTGCAGAGCGAAATTCGCGTGTTCTGCACAGTAAGTACTTCGCAGATGAAAATTTAATAATTTTAAACATAAATGTTCATTCTATTTTTTCACGTTATTTACAAAATGAACAGTAAACTTGATGACAGACGAACAGAAAGAAGCCTACGAACAACTCTTGAAGAAAAGAAAGGAAACTTTGAAGAAAACAACAGGAGAAAACGCCAAAAAGTACTTATTTGGACGTCTGTGAATGGTGTTTTCATCTTAGATTTATTTGACCCCGTCTCCGCCTTATTTGGATATATTATTATTAGACAATATCGCATGAAAGGTCGTCTTGCATTAGATGATGCCTTAAAACAAGTTCAAGATAACACCAAAGATCTTGAAAAGGCGTTCGAAGGTTGGTCGGAAGCCCGCATTAAGGCGTACAAAGCCATTGATACGAAACCAAACACATATTATTATAGATTCAATGCACCTGGTGAAGAACAGAAGAAGGGTCAATGGACAAAGGTACATATATTTTAAATAATAAGAGTTATAGGTTTTTCGAAAGAAATATTTAATGTAAGTCTATTAAAGGAAGAAGAAGAGCTTTTTTTCCAAAGATTAAAAGAGATTGGATCTGATGGTCAGTGGGGTATATTTTCGATGACCATTCCTGGTCGCGTTGGTTATCAGGTATGATTAGATTTATTTATTTATTTATTTATCTTAAAGTCTTCATCATTGTAGAAAAGTCATTAATTTCTGTTCTTAATTCATTTTAACAAGTGTTCAAATTTCTATCGACTGTTAATTGAAACTGGTCGTGTCAAGGATCCTAATTATGTACTTGATGAGAAAGGCAAAGCACATTATCTGTTCAGCACAAAGAACAAGAAAACAGGAGAAACGGAGAGAACGTTCAGAACACATACAAAGCACGGAAGTGGAGGAGCACGAGCAAAAAATTCTTCGTCAACGGTTACCCGATCAACTCCGGCAAAGAAGAAGCGTAAGACTGTCAAGAATAGCAAGAAAAGGAGTTTCGCTTCTGACGACGATGATGATGATGACGATCTCGATTACGATGATTCTGGTAGCTATACTCTAAAATCTTGGAATACTACAAAGAGAACACGAGCGCAAGCGTCTTCGAGTAAAGAACCTTTCAGTCAAGATATTGAAATGGAGGAGATAGAAGACGAAAATCCTTTGCCCGATTTTATTGATCCTATTACTCTTGAAGTGGTCGTGAAACCCGCAATTTCCCCCTATGGTCACGTGATGGGGTATTTATATCTCTAATAATGACATTATGTTTATTGTTATATATGCTATTCAACTTCCTTTTGAACCCTTTAGTTATGACAATTGGGTCAGATGCCTTTCTTCAGAAGCAAAGAAAAATATTTGCCCACTGACCAAAAAGCCACTGTCAAAACGCGAACTAGTAATCTTAACGAAAGATAATATTGACCAATATAGGTTAGACAATTTTACCCGTGATTTTTTTTTTTTGCAGATGGATAATTTATTAACTTTTTTTTTTAGATCTAAAATAGTCAACCTGGAGTAATGTTGATAAACCAGAACAGGAACAAAACTTATTACTTACAGACATTCTTTAGGATTTGTTCTTGATATCAGTTTTTCGATTCCTGTATTTGTGTCAACAATGAGATATTGACATAGAATGGTTCCTTTATTATCCGGCATTAATATGTGAAGATGAAAAATTTATATTCCGGGCCTATACCTCATTAAAAGTTCCTAGATGAGTAGCTTACAGCTACAGATTTTTCATCAAATACTCTAATATTTATCAAATTGCTTTAAATTGTATATTGTATAGAATGCTAAATATGATATGCATAAAATTTTTTTGCAAAGTAATTTAGCACTAATAAAATGGATTGAGTTTTCTTATTTAGAACTTTAAATTGTAATCCTATTTATCTTTGTTATATAAATTTATACGATGTCAACAAATATAAATTTATTTGAATAATTAAGTTTTTAATCAACTTATTTATTTTTATTTAATAAGTTTATCATTTAGGATCTATTTTAAAAATATTTTTTAAAATTTATCAATTATATATTAAATTATATATAAAAAATCAATTAATTTAAAATTTAAAACTATTTATTTATTTATTTATTTTGTTAATCAAAACCGAATATAATTAACTTTATTTTTTTATTATATAAATTTTATATTATCTTTTTACAAATTTAATATTTAATAAAATATAATTACTTTTTGTTTTTCTAATCAATTAAGTATTTATTGTATTTATTTAATCTTTTATAATTAAAAACATAATAATATATGAATTTTAATATTTAAATATCTATTATTAAAGTTGCTTTTTCTTTTTTTCTATTTCTAAAAAAAAAAGTTTATTGTTTACAATTTATTTTATTATTTTTTTTTGCTTCTAATCAGATTGCAATTCTTGTTTATTAATTAATTTGCAAATACAATAATATATAAAATCCTAAGGTTTTATATTAAAGCTAAACTTTACATATTGTAAAATACTTATTAAACAAGTTATTTTTAGATTTGTATGGGATTCTTGAATTCTTAATATTAAATTACTGTATCACCCACATTATTTAGTTATTTACTAACTATTTCATTATAAAAAAGTTGATTCATTAAACTATTACTATATAATGTTATTTATTTTAGACTTTTCAAATTTTAATTCTTTAAATATAATTACAAAAAATAATAATGTTATTTTTTTTAAAAATTTGTTTCTTAATCTTGAAAAAAATTACAGTCAACTTATATTCAAACTGTTATCTCAACATAAATCTGTGGTTCTAAGAGATAAAAATAAAAAATAATTGAAAAGTTTGTTTTGATAAATAAAAACTCTTCAATATCAACTTTGGTTCATCAGAATAAATTTTTTATCAATACCTGCAACTAGACAGATCATTTAATTTTCACTATTTTATTAATAACCAAGAATATTCAGAGTTTGACTTATAAAATTATTTTTATTATTATATAATTTTTATTATTACATAATTCTTGTTTACATTTATTTATTTGTTCTAATCTTCATTTATTGTCAAAGTCCTTCTTTCTAATTCTCTATTTTTAGTAGTGGTTCCAGATTGTTTTCAGTATTTTCAAAGTCCTTCGGAGATTCTTCTATAGTAATAATTTGTGAATCAATTATTTCTTCATTTTCACTACTTAAATTTTCTTCTTCAAATCCAAGTTCTTTTTTAATTCTCTTTTAAAAATATAATTTATAATAA